AACTAAATCATAAGAATTATATGGTTCACAGTAAGGAGAAGTACAAATTTGGTCTGGAAGTTAAAGGGATAATTATTAATAACAATAATGATAATAATAACAGCAATAGAAATGATGATAATGATGATGATGTAAAGTAAAGCACTTTGATAATGATCATAAATAAATAATAATGATAATAATTATCATTATCACCAAATAGTAATAATAACGATAACAATAAGGACAATTATTATTGCACTAAGACTAAAAATGGGCAGAATATTAAATGGGTAAACGAACTGGAAACGAAATAAAAAACTTGCCTTTTCTAGCATTTCTTGCAAGAGGACAACACTTAGTTCTGAAAAAATAGAACATAGTGGCTATTTTTGAGTTACATGTAAAAAAATTAATGTTCTGTTGAACAAAATTCCAAGGGAAATCTTAAACATTGTGTGACATGGCACTGTAAATAAATATACTATTGGACTATTGGTGCATGTTTACTGTGTCACAGGAAAATCAAACATAAAAATGCTTAAATCAAAATTAATAAAAAATAAAATTTTGGAATGAGTTAAACTCTCACCATTTTGAATTTTCGTTCAATTTTAAAAAGCTGAACATCACGAGATAGGAAACCTGGTATTTTCTAAAATTAGGCATTGGAGTTCAGAAAATTCTCCAGTTTTCACAAAGATTTTCAAGATACATTTTGATGGCTCAAGCTACATTTTAAAGACAGAAAATATAATCCACTAAGTATCCACTTCACCTGGGTTTCTAGCATGGTAGCTAAAGTCCAATGCTTGTTCATACAGTTTCTTTGTTTCAAAGATGCCCAGCCTATCCATTTCACGAATGGTGATCATGATAACATCCATTCCCTACAAAAATCAAAACAGAAATATATTTAAATTAACAAAAGTTGAAATTAAACAACACATTAATTTTATTTAATTATAATGTGTTTTGGTTGAGTGTTCACAGCCATTCCTCTTAAATAGAGCCTGCACGGAGTTTTTTTTGTCAAACTTTATCTATCACATGTTTATCTTGTATGAAAATAAATCTCGAAAAATGAGTCCCTGATCTGTGCAGGGGAAGTAGTACCTTGTAGATAATTGATTGTACACAAAATCACAACACCTCTATTTTTTTCGACTTGCTAAATTCATATTCTGAAAATTGTTCCTTTTCCTCCACTGAGAATTGGGTTATATTTATTTGATGGACAGAACATCATTGCTCAATTCTGAGAAAGAGGTATTGACTATTTATCTCTCTGGTGACCTCCAACAATCGATAAAAAGCCAGCATTTTCAACATGCCTGCACCACAAGTAGTTATGTGACTGTGAAACTATGCACAGTAAGGATGTGCAATGCAATACTATGGAATTTCCTTCCCCCTTTCACTCCCAAGATCTCATGAGTAATTCTCCCTGTTGTCTGTCATACAGTTCTTATGATGATAGTTCTGAGAACTTTGTGTTGGATCAACTACTAACTCCCTGATTGATATCCTTCTTTATTCTCATCAACTGTCTGCTTGATAAAGTATTAATACTTAAAGGAGAAATTCTGTCTTGGTCACTTGTGGAATTTAGAGGGGTGACTGTGAACTTACCTGACCAGATAGGATTGTGTTTCGAAGCAAAACACGTTCATTGCTGTCGACCAGAGTTTGACCGAAAGCATTGGTCGGTTGCGGCATGTATCCCAGCAGAAGGAAGGCAGTGTTTATCTCCCCTCGGGTTGTAACTGTTATCATAAACTCCCTCAGGTCTGTTGAGTACATAGGTGATTATAATGGTTAACAAAACTACAACAAAATTGTCGGACATCATCACCAGCCCAACTAATAGGACATTGTACACAACATGCTTGTAATTGGTTAGTGTAATAGGACAGTTAAAGGATAGTTAACACATCATGCCTGTGCTAGTGGACAGAATGTGTCATGTGCCTGCACAGTTGTTTTGCATTTCATTGAGTTAACGGTTGGTTTTTTTAAAATGAAAATAAATAACCAGTATTCAAATTTTGTTATAGTTTTGATCAATTGGTAACAGGACTTCATGTCATCCAATTCTGTCTGTAATCCTACTCATGATTAACAAATCACTTGTATGATTACTGACCAAACTGGACTCCACTCAGTCGTATTACCATTATGGGTGTGATTTGATTTTGATTGCTGTAACCCCTGCTGTTAGAGATGCAGGGTCAGCCATTAGTGTGTTGGACCACAAGCTAAAGACAAATCAATAGAGGGGGTGAGTTTCTCAAGGTACTATTGTGCTGCATTGCTCGGGTACAACAAGATAATTTGGTTTTATCAACTGAGAAGATAACATAAAGAGGCCACCAAAGAGAGTTCCTAAGTGTTAGCCCTTCATCAGAGAAAAAGATTTAAGACACAGAAAAAATATCAAAGTTAAAGAGTCCAGGTTTCAACTCTGCCTGAGTCAAATTCGTCTCTCTCCACCCTGGAGCAGTGCATAAACAAAACTGTGTGTACACTTTACTTGATAAAGTGCTGCCCCCACATTTTCAGGTGCAGTTGCTTTTCATGACTTGTGCATGTTAGGAAATGTAAAGTGTCTCTCAAAAAATAACAATGAAATGCATGTGTATGTATCTTTAGCTAGTTATACTTACTTTTTTCAACAAAACCCATGACAAGGGGTGCCTCTAAGAGCTTTCATGCAAAAAAAAACAAATCATTATGATAGTTGAATACACAATAAATTTATCTAAAAGTTGGACTGATTTAAAATATGCATCACACAAACTGAGATATACTTGGAAAAAACATGCAGAATTTTATGCATCACTTATAAAATGCTTCAGACATACATGACTGTGCAATCGAAGAAATGCTTAAGCTGATATTATAATTATACTCACTGTAAAATACAAAACAACATGCTGGGTTGTTCAAAACAGGATTAAACTCACAAGGGGTTTGTGTAATTTTTTAATTTAGTTTTAAAGCTTTGCAATAATTTTTCTTTTGCACATTTTTTCCCATTAATTTCAAGTCATAATGAGATAAACCCCAACAAAACCTTTAGCTCTTAACACTTTAACTCCCCAGATGTGATTGTTAATCCTCCCTTCTAGCTCCTTGTAAATTAGTTATGAGAACTTGGTGCTAGATCAAGATATCAGCTTCCAGCTGATAAGTTTGAATATTCCCATTACCTATTTCCTGAATAATGTATAGACATTACTGTGAGAAGTTTCATGTTAATCACTAATGGGAATCAAAGTTGCTCTTTTACATGTATAAAATCTATTTTATTTTTGAATTTCAAATTAAATTTTTCTCTCCCTCTCCACCCTTAACATTATTTTTGTATTCACATGTGGCGTATGTGATTTGACAAATTAGCAAGGTACACTTAAAATCCTAGATTAATGTCAACCCCAGTTCAAACAACCTGAGCCAGAGCTACATGTGTACCTCTTTCATAATTGCAGAGTGTCCTCGCTTTGAAAGTGTATCCAGCAGCACTAAAAATACCCTCTTGTTGGGATAAACTTTATTTTCTTGCATCTCTTGAAGTGTCTATGAAAGGAGAGAGCTCCATTATTCCTTTAACGCTTTTCACCCAACATCAGTATGCATATTCTCTCTACTGTGATCTATACATTTCCTTAACTCCCAAGATTTCATGAGTAATTCTCCTTCCTGTCCGACATACAATTTATGTGATGTTAGTTTGGAGAATTTGGAATCGGATCAACCAATAATCCCCCAATTGATACTTTTCTTTATTTTCAATACTTGTCTGCTTGATATTGCATTGATATTGTAAGGAGAAATTCTGTCTGAGGCACTAATGAAACTTAAAGGGTTAAGATGCTGACTAGGACAATTTGTTTAATGATCATGAGTTTCTCTTGCTCTTGATGCTTCATTCAGGCTGATGCTGTAAGCAGAAAGTAGATGCTAGTCACTCTTGAGGGTTAAAGGATTAAATCCCAAGATCTGATTGTGAATTCTCCTCTCTAGCTGCTAAACATGTTTTAGTAACTTGGTTCTGAGAATTGGGTGTGAAATTAAGATAACGACCTCTACCTGATAAGTTTGAACATTCTCACTATCCATTTGCAGGTCCCAAGATCTGACTGCAAATTCTCCCCTCTAGCTGCTATACATGTTTTTGTAACTTGGTTATGAGAATTGGGTGTGAAATTAAGATAACAACCTTTCCCTGATAAGTTTGAACATTCTCATTTTCTATTTGCAGGATAATGTATGGATTAAGGGTTCAGATCTATCTGAAAAACCCTTTGGTAATAATAAAGGAAGAAATTCATAATCACACACAGTCTCTTACTTCCATTATACCCTCAACATTTCCAGCTTCTGCATGAACAACTAACAATGCAGTATAACTGTTGATGTCTGGCTCCAGTTTATTCTCCCTGTGAAGAAAAAAAATTTGAATTTGCATAAATTGTTTCATTAAAATTAAAATTGAAGCCTTGGTTATTAAACCTCTCCCCCTAAGGGTGACTAGCATCTAACTTCTCCTTAAAATATCATCCAAGGTTGAATCACACATTAAGAACAAGAAGAGAGGAAATGATCATCTACTAAAGAAGCTCTTGATTGTTAAACAAATTCTCCTTGTCAGCACCTTAGGAAATGTATGGGGAACAGTATGGAGAAAATGCAAACTGATGTTAGGGTGTAAAGGGTTAACATTTTGACAAAATTTTTAGGCTCCAAAACACTGCACTTTGAATCTGTGTAGAGAACAGTACCAGTAAGTGTTTGGTAAAAAGCTTATGGTTCTCAGACCATTTTACATCAGCTGGTTAGTGAATTGTGATCAAAGACAAAAAAAAGTATTTTTTGAACTGATTCTGACATTAATGTCTGGCTAAGAAAACATGCATCATGTCTAAGATAGTTTCAGTTAAGGGAGGGGAGAGAGTCACAAAACAACGAACCGTTCTGGGGCAAGTTTCTTGTGCAAACATAACTCAGTTCATATGATACTTTGGTTTTATCAACTAAATATGATAATGTAAATTGCCCCCCATAGAGAGCTTCGAAGCTGATATTTCAAGCATTAGCCCTTCCTAAGAGCAAATTCATTTCAGCTTCCTACTCAAATCAGAACATACTTTGTACTTTTCTTTCATTTTCTAATGACAACCAAGCTCAAGAACATTGGATGAAAGAATTATTTACACTTACCTCATGAGGTCAAACACACCCTTGGCACTCTCAATGTCTCTGTAGAGGAAGAAATACAACTGTTCATCAAGAACTGACCAGATTTCTACCTCAGACAAAAATGTGCATATTTTTAACCTCTTAACTCCCAAGACCATCATGTCTCCCTCCCAGCTCACCAATTATTGGGCCAATGGGTCTCCCACATAATTATAATGAATATAGCTATCACGTACCCAGTGCGACCATATGCAGTGACAAGAGCTGAATACACTTCCTCTGTAAGAAGCATTTTGGAATCTTTGATATACTCTAACATTTTACTGCAAAAAAAAAGTAAAAAAATTACTTCACATCACAATGAAACACATTGGTAAATTACATTTTTAAAGATTCATATAATCATCACAGCTTTTATATGGGTGTATATGGTTCTTTGTCTAAGAAATCTAAGGCACTTTCAAATGAATGAACTTATAAATGTCACCAATAGCACTTGTGCTAAGCTCAAGCATATTCCTGACAGAGCTGTGTACTCACAAGGTGCCTTCTACATCTCCTTTTTCTGCAAATCCCTGCATAAGCAATAGAAGGGTTGCCTGAAAGAAAAAAAAAACCATACCCAAAATTGTCATATCCATTCAAAATCTGATGCTCATCAATAATTTAGTGTAGAAAAAATTCTAATTCCAAAGTTTCTCACCCTGTTGGGATCAACATTCCTCAACTCCATCTCTTCAAGAACTTCAAGGGGATTGAAGATGTAACTGTTTTGAACATACACAGATAACAATGCATTGTATAATGTTTCATCTGGTTGAGTGCCTGTAGAGTAAACAAGGATGCAAAGTTAGTTAAATTTATATTAACCCTTAAACTCTCAGAAGTAATTAACACATACATATAACTTCTCCCTATAATATCTGTATGTCATCCAGCATACAGGTAATGAGAATACTCAAATTTATCAGGTAGAAATTGTCACTGGTATTTGGATCTAACACAAAATTCTTGCAACTTACATACATGTATTTACAAGAAAATGTGTAACATTTGGAGGGTAGGATTAATAATTAGAACTTGAGAGTAAAAGGGTTGATACCATAATTGTGATTTCTGAAAAAAAAGTTTGCAAGATTACCCAAATTATCAAGGTACCATTTACCAACCCTTATTGAGAAAGGTCAAGTTTGTCCAGAAAGAATCTACATTATAGCTATACAGCAATCATCCAGAGGATAATCCACTATTCCTTGCTAATGTTACATTTTGAAATCAGCTCTACATGTCTGTATAAGACTGGTGATCTCCATCAGCTGAAGACAGGGTTTTATAAACTACACCATCCTAATTTTTGGTATAATGCTATAATCAGGGAATTGAGCATAATACTGGCTAAATGACTAAACTTTTGTGTTTAATACAGTTCTTTATCCTGCGTAATGTTAAAAAGTGAGCCTGATTTTCTTGCGTACACTTTAGAAATTTGATCCCATAAAAATTTTGTGTTCCAAACTTAAGAAAGCTTTTTATTCTTGGCAAGTTTTACACGTAGGTGGTAAAAATGGGGGCAGGAGAGGTTGAGGGGCTCTTAACCCTTTATTTCCTAACATCAGGGGGGTTAACCCTTTAACTTCCAAGATCTGATTGTTAATTCTCCCCTCCAGCTGCTACACATTTCCTTGTCTATTAGTTATGAGAACTTGGTGCTAGATCAAGATAGCAGCTTCTACCTGATAAGTTTAAATATTCTCATTAACAGTTTGCTAAATAATGTATGGATATTGTAGGGAGAAGTTTTATGTTAATCACTTCTGGGAGTTGAAGGGTTAAAAGCTATTTATTGAATTATTAAATGGCACATTATGAAAAATGTAGAGCATAATTTTTGGCATAACTTAAGAGTTGACACTCAAAAGCATAATGCCTAAACTTTTCAGGGTAATTTATCCGACCGTACCCTAAGTTACAGGAAGAAGAGTAAGAAACAGCAGACAGTTACAGTATTTACCTGTCTCAATAATCTTGTCCCACATGTAGTGCGCCAATTCAACTCTCTTTTCAGGTCGTTCATACAATAACTGCGATCCACAATTTCGTATCACCTGGTAAGCTTGTAACGGTGTCAGTTGGCCCTCTAAGGTTACAAAAAACAACTCGCGTGAATTAGGAATTACATAACACACGCCGATAACTGGATCACACATAGCGCTCACGAGCACGTATTTCGTACATTTATCCTTGAGCCGAGTGAAAATGAGGAAAATGATGACTTATGATACACAGAAAAAATACTGCTGTAAAAAAATTATGCTATCTTGCGCTCAGAAGAGGTAAGTGTAATATGCAAAGGAAATCATTCTCACAAGCCACAATGCGACATCAAGATCTCACCATTTTGCAGAATACTCTCAAATGTTCTCAGCAGAATTTTCTTGACAATGATGGTTCCTAGCTGTCGTTTATCCCGATCGTATCTAGTTACAGGTGCATTAGATCGTTTTTCGCGTGCATTTTGAAATTCTTTTAAGTCCTTGGTCACTGAATTTCTCTCGATCTCAGCTGTTTCTTCAACAGCCTCGCTAGCCGTGCTTTCACTGCTCAGGTACCTCAAGGCGCTAAATCTGGGAATACATGCTTTCAGAATGTGTTCTTTGTGTAAAATTGCCAAGTTTCGTTGGTAGATCGAAGGGTTACGTATAGCGTTTGCTGCTAAAAGTCGGCATGCTCTACCAGCTCCAAGTCGTAACAGGGCCGCCATGATGTTAGCACATGTGGAGCTTGGTAACCTGGCGTCACCTATTTGACAGGGAAAGGGAATATCTCGCCCTCATTTCTAATTTTCTTGTTTTCTCTTTCTTCTTTTTTTCACTTCTATCGGTCATGTATTTAATTGGCGTCTTATATCAAGAGGAATTTTCAAAAATTCACTCTGATGGCAGTTGTTTTATTTATGAAAGTAGCAGATCTGACAATACGCGTGAATCTAAGCTGACAGATTAAACTCTATTTTTTTTTAATCATTTTTCTATTTCTTCGATTCCTTTTCCATAATAAAATCCCATTAGAAAAATATTAAAAGAAATTTCTTTTTCAGAACTGATGAAAATATTTCCGGAAAAAAGGAGATCGCAAGTTCAATTTAAGCTTTTTTTTTTTGTCCAGCGAAAAGTATTCAAGCATTTATTCGCGCGCGGGGTCTGGCACCAATCAACCGCACCCCCAATGAACCTCTCCTCGACTTGTCTCAAATCTTCCCGCGGGCGGAGAAACGCGTGTCCTGCGGCGCTAATGACGATGGTCTGCTTGCAAGCTATTTTCTTTATTCCCGTTTGCCCTTTGCTTCTCTATTATTATACATCTGATTAGATAATGGCGCATCTAAAAAAAAAAGTATGTCAATCAGCGCCATGAGAAGTATCTTGCCGCAAAGATTACAATCCGCAATCCGACGTTTTCCCTTAAACCCCTAAGAGTAACTGGCTTCTTATTTCTCCTTTCAGTACCACCCTTGAATCAAAAGTAAAGGTCATGAAAATAAAGGTAATTATCTCCGATTTAAAAAAGCTCCTGATTGTCAAACACACGGCCACAATTATCGTTCAGGAAATAACGGTATTTTATGACAGTCGAAATCACACGCATCAATATTACACTTTTCTACGCGATCTTAAAAAAATAGTGTATCTTGTTCTATTGAAAAAACCGAATGTCCGCCATGTGATCATTAAATACTGTGTTCTAAACAGTGGTTTGACGTCATATTGTCTATGATGCTGCCGCTGAACAAGGTGATTCAAGCTTCTCTATCTTGATCTTGATATGTTCCCCTGGTTGCCATTTCACCCGACGTTTGGTTTAAATCAACCAGTAATCTCATAATTAATTGATGTTTTTCTTCATTCTCATCACTTAGCTGCTTGATATTGTATTGATATTGTAAGGAGAAATTCTGTCTCGGTCACTCATGCAAAGTATTAAAAGGGCCTGACTTTCTTCGTTTAAATATTTGACCTTTTTAAAACAATCCCTCTCCATATTCAGGAACAATCTCTCCACTGACGTAAGAATTATTTCACCTTAAATACATTTATCTATTTATCCATTTATTTATCTAATACATTTTCTATCTATCTATCTATCTATCATTTACTTATATGAGAGACTTATCCTAACGAAAATTCTTGACACCCATTGTAATTATTGTTTTCATCATGCGACTCTCAATCAAACTGCGTTAGATTATTAACTCGTTCATACACCGCAGTCATCTTCATCGTCATCGTTATCATTATCATTATCGTTATCATTACCATTATCACTATCATCATCATTATCGTTATCATCATCATCATTATCGTTATTATCATTATCGTTATCATCATCGTCAACAGTCTGCCTCGTGTTCTCTTTCCTCTTGAAAACGTGAATTTGAATCAAAGGTGTTTGCGAGTTCCTGAGAACTTATTTCAGCTATTGATTGGAATTCTATCTTCGGCTCCTGTATGTGGGTCTTTAATAACTTTTGTCTTTCTCTGTAATGTCTTCTTGCCAAGTTCACATGAATTACGCGAATGTTCTTGTTAAGAGTTTCCACCATCGCTTTCATCTCGCCCATTATTTCCAACTTCTGTCTTATAGCTGTGGTTAGCAAGATTGATAAAATGTATCAGTTATTTCAGGGGTCAAATGATGTAAAGATTTCCTTTTCAAGTGAGGTGCGAACAAGCTACGAGAGATCGGGAAGGTGACGACGCAGAAACACATTCTCTCGCTCATAAAACTCCGGCGTTCTTACTAAACACTGACTCTTCATGGCTCTTTGAAATTAAGAAATCGTCTGTATCCGCGCATGGAATGAAGAACCGGCAAAACAGGCTGTAAATTAAACTGATTGGCATGCGAATAAATCTTGACCACAACAGCTAGTGCATCCTAAACAAGATTGGCCAAAAACCGCTGTATCTAATCAACGGTTTCTTTAGCATGAGGCTACTAAGAGAGTGGAGAGTATGTACTCTCCTTGGTTGTGATGCTTGCACATCGCTGGTTACCTCCCCCCCGCCCCCTCCTGATAGTTTGTTTGTACCTATTTCACACTAAAGGATGGAGTGGCGTTTGGGAATTTTAAAGAGGACATGGTCTCGAACCCAGACCTTCCACGGCCAAGCAATTGTAAGGATCCTGCATTTCAGTTACAGTTACAAGGCAGGATCTGGATTCGAGATTAGTGAGGCCTTCAAAAAATTAAGCAAAAATATCATATTTGAGAAGCACCACATACCTGATGGATGAATTTTTGATCTTGCCCTGATGAATCGAATTATTTCCCAGGTAATGCCAGAAAGCAAAAACAATGTTAACAAGGAACCACTGACCAGCAATGATTTCTTGAATAACGCAGTGCGACTGTCGAACAGTCCTGTGGATCTTTCCACCGCGAGTGACTCAGCAGGCTCCTGGGAAAGAAACGTAAACTAATCAGTTTTAAAAAGTCTGAGGATTACATCATTAAAGTGGTTTGGCAAAGAAGTCGATGAACAAGAAAAGTTCGTCATCCAAAGTATCCTTTCTCACAACACAACAATTAGCTTGAAATAACAGACAGGCAGGCAAGAGTGCGTCCGTCACTTGCTCAATCAGTTATTAAGTCAGACAAACAGACAGATCGAGATATGATTGATACAGACAGAAAGCATCTCCCTAGACAGACAGACAGACGAACAGACGTGCGATTTCATAACAAAATCCATTTCCTTTCGAGTTGACACAAGTGTAGTTCATCCAAACGGACCTTTCAAAAGGCAAGTATCTGTCTACGTTATAACACATGTACAGTCGTTCTTATCTGTCAGCCAGCCAGTTGGTGATCCAGTCAATGAGGAAGTTATTCAGGCATTTAGTCAGTCAGTAAGCTGTCGGTCAGTCAGGCCAGTAAGCAGGAAAGTCATTAGACAGCCATATGTCAGTCAGTCAGTCTAGCAAGCAGGCAAGTCATCAGTCAGTTAGGCCTCCATTACTTAACAAACATCCCTCTCACGGCTAACCTAAACTGTAGATGAAGTTAAACCTCTTCAATCATTTAACCATCTACCCAATCTGTTGAAACGAAGATCTATATCATTACCTTTCGTGTATTTAAGGAAAATATCTACCTGCAACTGTTCAGTATTGTTCTGTATATGGTGTGCAATCTCACTAGCCAAGACCTTCTCAGTGTAATGCTTGAAACAGCGCCGGAGTTTTTTGGCTTCATTGCCCATCACAACTCCGTATGTAGCTGAGTAATCCAGGATCTTATTCACTCGTAGATTTTCTTGCTCAAATAAGTCCTTGCTACTTCCAGCACTATATGTATCTATCAAAGCTCCAATAACTTGCCGTTCATTTAGAGCTATGTAAATATCGTCAAACGTGTGGTATTCGTGATCTTGGTAAAACAAAAGAGGAATGGATTGCAGTATATTGAGCCAAAATATCAGCAGCAAAATCAAGTCAAGATTCGTTGGCTCACATTTACGCTTAATTGTTTGTGCTGGTAAACAAAATACTGTTTCGAGTGTACATTAGTATTTTTCATACTGTTTTCTATCCCTTTTTATGGTATTGTTAAAGAGAATTTGTTAAACAATCAAAAGCTTTTTTAATTTGTGATCATTTCCATCCTCCTCATGAACTTCAGTACTAATACTGTTAGGAGAAATTATCGACGATTCACTCCCACGCGTGCGTGGGCTCACTTTTTCGTGAAAAAGTGGGAAAATGTGGAAACGTCAGATTGCATCTTTGTCCAAGTTTATGCTAAGTTCGTGGGTAAGACACAATACTCTCCTAACGCCTCTAACCAAGCCATTATCATGATAGAACTCAGACGGATTTTACGTCTGGATACCTGCAGAAATGCCCAGGCGTAACCGATGTATCACTTAATCTAGGGAGACTTGCCATACCCCAAGTTGCGTCGTGTTGCGTAGCTTAACGATTTCACTCTCAAGATCAAATTGTTAATTCTCTCTTCTAGCTGCTACACATTTCCTTGTAAATTGGTTACGAGAATTTGGTGTTAGATCAAGATAACAATTTCTACCAGATAAGTTTGAAAATTCTTATGGCCTATTTGCTGGAAAATTTAGGATATTAGAGGGAGAAGTTTCATTTTGATCACTTCTGGGAGTTAAAGGGTTAATCTATGATCAGAATTCTTTACCTTCTCTCTACCTACCTTCGTCCAATCGTGCATTCTTCCTCACTGCCATTCTGTATTCCGGAGATCCTTTGATCGCTGCTACCTGTGAGGCAGTAAGGATAACACGAAACACTTTAAACTGTTGACTAACCAATAGAGTCACAAAAGGGTATAAAAAAGAGACACGTGATAAATGGACCTTGCACGATTTGAATTGTGATCAAAAGGATTTAATATTTCAGTGGGTTTTTTTTTCTGTGAGAACATAACAAGATCACTTTCGAGAATCGAAACGATTTTTTTTTTCTGTGAGAACATAACAAGATCACTTTCGAGAATCGAAACGATTTTCCTCTGATAAACCGCGAATGCTTAGATACCCATCTCCTTAGTTACCGTCAAATTTACATATAGAATGTATTCAGAACGTATTCAGTCGACCTCATCACTAGATGAAGACTTGCAGTATGCAGTCGAAATATTTCCATCTACATCGAAAGACGACATCGTCAGACAAACAGAAAAACTAGATTAATGTTAAATGCAATAAAATGTGGGCTCATTACTGTTACTAGATTACTGTTGCACTTCACCATGATCAATAGCCGCACACCTTTTTCATAATCAAGTTTTTCTGAAAGCCTTTTCAGTCGTCAAGGTGTTTTTAAAGCAAATGGACATTTTTGATCGAGCATGCGCTAATCACGGTCGAAATTTGAGCACTTGCGAGACAATCCCCTCCAAGAGAGTCACGAGTAAAGTTATCACAACGACCATCCGGAATAAAAGTGAGGAATACCAGAGGGCTCAAAGTTAATTTATGCCAGCAGCCTTGAGTGCAGGAAAACTGCGGTGAGTAAGGCACCATTGGCTTCAGTTTTACTTCTGATTGGTTGAGAGGGTGGTGTGATGCTTCTGGACCAATCACAGAGCGCAGAAAAGCAAAACCACGGATTACTTTCGTATAGTTCTCTAGAGTGGGATATGCTGATAGACAAGTTGTATTGGCCTGTACCTTAGCTCCGTAGAGACTGGACTCCGTTTCCATAGTAGCTGTCGTAATAGCCGTTGTCATGACACTTGTCACAAGACCAAAGATTATCAGCCCGGAGAGGATAACGATAATAGCAAAAAATCTCCCTACAACTGACATCGGTGAACGATCACCGTATCTGTGAAAGATAAAAAAATGACATGGAGTAAAATTTCGTCAGTACGAACTATCTTTACCGTGAAGATAAGCCACTATTCAGATTCGTTTTTTCAAGAAAAAGATAAAAGCAGCATTATGAAGCATGCGTAGTGGATCGCTGAGTAAATATAGGTCTTGCTGAATTGATAAACCTTCAACGATATTGTTACACATATTGTGTATATCTCTGTTAACTGTAAATCAGTTCTTAATAGGCGCACTTCCACCCACATAAGCTGTAGCTGCTCAGTTGAAAATAAGGAGAAAATAAGAATTAGACTCCAACGTGACTTCGGGATATGTAAGTATTTCTTACGACGCTCAAATTTTCGTACAACAGAGAGCCTTCAAAAAACAACAGTTGACTCAAACAGACTCGAAGGGGCAAGACATAAAAAAGGGTAAAGAATGGAGAAGATTGATACGGATTACAAACTAGGAACTGTGAAACAATTAACACGCCACACTACGAGAAGTCTTAAGCTTACCCAACTGTTGTCATGGAAACGAATGACCAATAAAAGCCCTCAGGTAATCCTTCGACGAACGATGGAGGAAAGTCTGGGTTACAACGCGACTCCTATGTATGAGGTAAATTAAAACAAAAAGCAATTATAACAGACTTATATAGTTTATGTGTGTTGCCGTTTTCTGGACTAAAAAGCTGATTACTCGCGACATATTTTTCTTTTTGCATTTTGCTCCCACATTTGTAAGTAAAATGTCGTTACTTCTTTCTCCAATCTCTACCAAAGCCCGGAGTCAAGTGCCGCGTAATGCGGCTTTAACTGGTAGAAATACTTGTGTGTGATACCGCGTAGTACTTTCAAGTGGTAATGTTTATCGTGCTGTACAAAAAAGGAACCAAATTTTGAGTCTTTGAATGAAACTTTAGAGTATGACCATTAAATGAAAGCGCTAGAACCATAAAATTACTTTATAGTAACAGTTATGCTAAGAAGTTTGTAAGAAGTGAGAAATTTAAAGTAACATCTGGTCTGACTTACCACTGTCCAAACTAATATGCCTGCCAAATACGTAAAAGCCATAGCCAGCATGACTACTGGCCAGCAAGAAACAATGTTCACCAAGATAGTTTTGGGCATGTCATCCTGTGAGTTTGTATTCACTATGTACGCCATTCCAGGTGATTCAACTATCCCTTGATAACCAAACTGTTCGGCAAAATGCGTCTGGTCTTTGAATCCATACATCGGAAACAAAAAGTCTGTTGGATTTCCGATGTTGCTCCTTAATGCACGTAGACTCGGAAGCTCGGCGGATTCATTGAACCCATTTGAATTCATGTCTACGTACGATTTGCCGTGTGATTGACAGGTTTCACAGCACGTGACTGTTAGCTTGTCAAGGATTGGTGGAATAAGCCCACTCAGGAGATTTTCCTTAGACGCCCGAACATATGGACGAAATTCGTACCAACTCGTTGTGAGGCGTTTATGACAACGGCAAGTCTCTTTTAATCAAAAAACGAAAAAGATATTTAGTGGTAAAGTATTACGGCAGATGCGATAACTTTACGTTTAACACAAAGTGCTTTAAGTAGACAAACAAGCCCGAACTCTGACCATACTCATTGTGCTGTGTGCTCGTCTAGACTCTAAACTTTTATAGTGCTTTTCTTCACCATGTAAGATAAAATTCTGCAGAAAGCTGTCGGTTCAATGGACAGGCCAACAACTAGTTCACTGCTGCTCATGAAGAATAACGAGAAACAAATAACGAATAACGAGTAACGAGTAACGAGTAACGTGTAACGGGTAACGGGTACAGAGTAACAAGTTAGAACCTCCTTTAGTTTCAATCCTGCTTAGTGGCAGGAAAGCAATTTCGGGGTCAACCTTTAAAGTCTGAGTAAAGACTTCATTTATAATTTAGACACACCTGCATAATCAGTTGCCGATGGACCATCTCCTATGTTTGTAAATCCCAACACATCAATACGATACAAAGTAAATACTTCAAGATTATTTAGTACCAGAGACAGAGTAGACTTTGGGACTATCTGCTCTCTGATTGGCTCATTTTCAACTGTCTCCTCACCAACTGCGACGGCCTGGTACCTAATCTTGTACCCGATTAAAATTCCATTGATATACTCGGGATCGATCGGTTGCCAGGCAACTGGAATGGTTGTCAAAGAGACGTGACTTGCTGTGGTGATACTCGCCGGAGGTCTGGTAGGTACTTAAAAAATTGAGAAGAGCGACATCTGGGTTAGCAATGATACTTCAGTCGATTAAATAAGAACGAAATTTCTCACGAAGTATCAATTTACATTTATCTTTCATGTTACCCGCCTACAAGAACAATAATACTTACTATCCTCGGTTAGGATAACATTGTCAAATACTAGATAGGTCTTATGATCCCTAACAGCTTATCTTGCTGCAGCTTACCCTCCCTTCCAAAGTTTTGACTCCCCCCCCCTGAAATCTCAATAGTGCTTACGATTCTTCATTTTAGTCATTTAGTTGAGTTATGATAAAGGCCCTAAAACTCCTCATTATATCGCTGGCAGCGCCCATAGGCATCATGAAGCTAATGCTGTATTCTGATTGGCTACCCGAGCGGGAAAGATGGGCGTTAAGATGGCTCGTTCTCTTTTTTCCGTTTTTATGAGATCGCGACTTGGTCGCGGTCCATAAAAACACCAGAAAAAAAAGAATTCGGCCAATATCTAGCAATCTTAACCTCACACTTGGTCAATTACACGTATATGTACGTGAGGTACATACCATCCTGACTGGTGCGAGCAGTGAGATTATTTCCGGGTCCATATCCTTCAGTAGTGAAGGCACGAACTTGAATGGAGTAGGCGGTGAATTTCTTCAAATTATCAAGAATAATCCAGTGGAGAAGAGGTTCTACTTCCATTTCCTCCACTGTGCCATTAAACGGAATTTCATGGAGATGAACCTTGAATCCCCTTATGATGCCATTTTCAAACCGCGGAGGGATTGAACCCCATTCAACAAACAGACTGGTGGAGCTTGGAGCCGAGTATATGATGTATAAAGGAGGCCGATCCGGACCTGATGATAACATGTTGTTTTTAAGTTAGAAATTGAGTCTTAACCTTATGAGAGCAAAAAATAAAAGAGAGATTTGAACTCCAAAAGCCTCTTCGAAACGATAAAAACTTACTATCCTCTTGTGATGTTAGAAATATGGAGTTACTCGGCAACCCCTCCCTGGTTGTGAACGATGTTACCCAAATATGAAACTCAGTAAACTTGTATAAGTCGGTAAGCTCAACGTCAGTAACAGAGATGTCAACTGAGACGTTTTTCAACATGCTTGGATGAACGGAACTTGGCGCTTCTTTGTAATAAACCGTGTAACCTCGGAGAATTCCCCGAAGATTTGGTAGAACAAGGGAACTCCACTGGACAAAGATTGAAGTGGAGCTTTTGGCTTGTCCTGTCAAATTTGCTGGAGATTTGAACGGAGCTGTTTACAAAAAGAAAAGAAAAAGAAACAATCATCAACGAGTTACTTGGTAATCGTAATTGTAACGAAGACTGAGTGTCCTGTGGCTCACCTTCCTCGTCCGTAGTTCCTCTAATGAAGTTACTCCAGGGACCCTCCCCAACAACAGTGAAAGCCACCATCCTGATACTGTAATTCGTCCATATTTCCAACCCGGTGATTTCCAGCGACAGTAAAGAGGCATTTAAGGTATAATTCCTCATATTTTCCCCACTGGTATTAAATAAAGCGAGCTTATAACCAATTCCGATACCGTTGATATCCTCATCAGGGACTGGGGACCAATGTACTCTTAACACTGTTGGCTCGGTTCCTTTGGCTGTGATGTCAGCAGGCGGTTCATCCGGGACTGGAAATGCAGAAGGATACACTTTTCTTTTTTTTGCTTTTCACAATTTTTCACAAGAACATCTTCCGAAGTAGAGCATTCAGTGAGATGATAGTCAGCCAAAGCCACATGGCCTTGGTTTGTAATATGGCTAGTAAAGAATATAGCCTGTCTTTCTCTAACAAAAAATGATAATTACAATTTTTACCCATATGAGTTTACAGTACAGGAAAAGTTAGCACATAAAAGAAAAATTTGAGATACATAAATAAACAAGTCTCTAAGTCCTCCCTAAAACTACTAAATAACCCCAAGTTCTTGATTACGTCCGACGAAAGGTTCCACACCTTTCGATCTACGATTTAGAATGTACAATTGGCGTATGTATCCGAATTTGGAGGAGGAGTACCATGGTAAATTTTCACCATACGGATTCTGCCAAATGCGTTACATACCGTCTTGGTTAGTTCGGACAAAGTCAGGCTCGGAGTAATTGCCCAAGCCAACCACTGTCGATCCAGCGACTTGTATAGAATATTCTTTGTACTTCCCTAATCCGTTCAGTTCCACCTGGACCTCTGTACTGTTAACTATTACTATGGAAGCGCTATCGTCTGGTTTATCACGTCTCCTATATTTAACGTGATACGATAGGATTATCCCATTCATATGATCTGGCGGGATGGGCTGCCAGGTGACGTTGATACTTGTGGAACTGGTGTTGAACGCAGTTACATTTGTCGGGGGATGATCTGGTACTTAACGCATGAAGGAGCAATGATCATAGTCAGAATATTGAAATAAATACTCACCTTCCACAGTGCAAACTGTTGCCCAATTTGTGGCACTGATTATATATTTTCACAACGGGGAAACAAACTAACAAACACACGGTTTAGTCTATACGCGCTCGTCAACTTAACCTTTTCACTCCCAAGATCTCGTCAGTAATTCTCCTTACTCTCTGCCACACAACTCCTATCATATGAATTCGGAGAATTTGATATTGGATCAGCTAACAATCCCCCAATTGATATTTCCTTATTCTCATCACT